GTCCCTCGCCCTGCACATGGCAGGGAAGCAGTTGGCATCACATCCAAACCCTGTCAGGCTGCTCCTTACACTGTGTCTGCAAAAACATCTTGGAGTGAGTGGGTCAAGGGACAGGAGAGACAATTATGTAAATCCAGAGAGAGAGAATTATATTGTCTAAATGTCAAATCTCTAACATGAAGCCGTAGCTGTTGCTGTGTGAGGTTGAGGGGTTTGTGCTGCTTGTTTCTTTGCCTCCCTTCACCTTTTCATGCTGAAGGTGAACACTGAAGGTCTTGGTAGGATTTATTATGGTGCTCGTTCCACCCTTCATCAGCCCTAATTGGGGCTTGGGTTTCAGAGGCATCATTTTAAATAACTGGTTGAGATAGAGATGTTAGGGATGATCCTGCTGGGAGCAGGGGCCTGGGGGGGCCTGGAATTATCTGCTGAGCTCTTAGCAAATAGCAACAGCAAATCTTTTGCTAAGGGAAGAAATAATCACTAAATATGGCTCAGTGCTCCCGTTTCGTGACCAGGGTGAGATTAACATGAAGCATTTTGGGGTTTTCCTGCATTGGTGAAGGCAGTGGAACCACAGACCTGCCAGGTTTGGGGTTGGTGGGGGGGGAAGGTCTTGCTCTGGTTCCCTGTGGCTGCTGCCTGGTGTCCCCATCATCCTCATCAGTGCCTGGCCCTGGAGCTCATCCCTGCTGGACTGGAGCTTTGCAGGAGGCTGCTGAGAGGGTGATGCTGGGGAGCTGTGTGGGGCCAGGAGCACGTCCTGAGAGGAGGAGGCAGGGAATGAACTTGTGCTTTGTCCCAGAGCCTCCCTGGCCCATGGACTCTGCAGTTTCCTTGGGGGGAAACCCCCTGCCCTAAACTGAAGCAAAGAGGGGGACCAGCACACACACCTTCACCCTTGCTTTGCTCAGTGTTTTGCCTTCTCTCTGCTTTTTCCTGCTGGGAGGGGGGGCAGGAGGTGCCCAGCTGTCTGTCTGTCTCCCTCAGCTGACCTGGCTCTTTTCTCTACCCCCAGACAAAGGTGAGAATGGGGAGCCCTACCAGAGGAGGAGGGGTGTGGGGACCAGCCTGCCTGACAGCCCCCCAACATTCCCCACTGCCAGGGACAGTGCCCCCCTGGCTGGCAGCAGCAGCTGGAGGCGGATTCTGCTGATGATCCTTGCTATAACCATCCACAACATCCCAGGTGAGTCCTGTCTGTCTGTCTGTCCATCCATCCCGGGGCTGGTGGGCAGCCCTTTCCTGGGCTCGGTGCCATCCTGGGAGGATCACACAGGGCTGCCACCTTCTCTCCCTTCTTCTCCTTGCTGCTCACATATGGCCCCTTCACCATGTGGGTGCCCATGTGCCTTTTGACAAGGTCTATCCTGTTGGATCTTTCTCTCATGGTGGGGTTGAACTGTGTTAGGTCTTGGCAGCAAAACCCTCTGCTGAGGAGGGGGCTCAGGCTTGCTGGTGTGCTATGAACATTGCAGCCCTGCTGCCAGCCTGTCGTGGGCAGGAATTGTAAATCCCAGAGTGTAGTGAGAAAGATGGCTCTGTAAGGACAACAGATTCTGATCTCTTTTAATTTCTGGTCTGGTCTGCAGAGCAGCAGGTAAAAGCGCTGCGGGAGCACGTTGGGTCGGGGGATTCTTATTCAAGGGATGGAGTTGGCCAGTGGCTGGAAAACTGCAGAGCCCTGAGTCTGGGTGGGCTGGGCTTGGAGAAGAAAGATGAGATTAAAGAAAAAAAACCCACTATGAGATAAATTGGAAACAGCTGAGGGCATGGCAGCTTTGCAGTTCTTGGGGATATTGAAAGTAATATAAGGGAATCTTTAACGCTTGTTTTCCTGGTTTCCTCTCCCCTCCCTCCTCCTCCTCTCCTTCCCCTCCCCTTTTCTTTTTCATTTCCCAGCTCAGTCTCTGCCTGCCTCACGTTGTCTCCTGGATGGGGAGGTGTGAAGGGAATAGGAAAAAACCTTTCTGCATAACTTAGAACTGTAAACTTGGGGGAAAACAGGGAAGTGCCTTTGGAAGGGCCATGGTTTCCAGGCTGGTGTTAGTGTGGCTTGTTGGCCAGGAGGTGGCTACTGTCAGCCCTGAGAGCTGCAGCAGCACAGGGTGGCTTTAACCATTAGAGCTGGAGAGGATGGAGCTGCCTTGCCTTGTCACGGGGGCTTTTTGATTTCAAGAGTAGCTTTTATCTGATACCAGGGCATCCATCTTAAATTCCATCCCAGCTCAGGCTTCCTGGGTGAGAAGGCTCCATTATAGGTCTGTAATCACACATCCTGTATTTCTCCCCTTGCAAGGGCAGCCCAGGACTGAAGGGCAGGAAAAGAATGAAAGCCAACACTCATTGGGCTGCCTCAGGGTTGGAGTTGGGATGCACATGGATGATCTCCTCGAGCACGCGTGAGCTGCCCTCCCTTCCAGCCTTGTTTCCATTTGCTTGTCTCTGGGCAATAATTGCTTTGCTCCAGCTGGTCACTGGTTCCCAAAGCCCTTGGGATTTTCCAGTTTTCATCCCTTTTTTTATCATAGGTGTATAACCCAGATGACTCAGTCCAGCTCCATGCATTGCTGGGGAGGGGGGTGCGTGACAAACCAGGCAGGAGCTTTAAATTAGCCACATGCACAAAGGAAGTGGAAATTTTTGCACCTAGCAAAGCGTAATTGGTTTTCACCCTTCAAATGAAGTGTCAGGAGCCTGAGGTGAAGAGCTGGGTGATGTGTGTGGCTGTGTTGGCTGAGGGTTCTTGCCTCTCTCACTGGCAAAATACAGGAAGTTTTGCAGAGGCAAAAAAGAGTCACCCAGCGAAGTGGGTGGATGGCAAAGTGCCCTGAGTGCTGCAGGGCCCCGTGTCTAACCTGTCACTGCTTCTGCAAGGCACAAAGCCACCCTTGGACACCTGCAGAGCCTCAGAAATTCTCTCTTGTGTCTTAAAGGTCACAATATTAAAGCTTAATACGCAGAGAGGAGAGGGAGAGCAGTGGCTCAGCCAGGGACCAGGAGTCACAGTGGGGGTGTCTGTCCCTGCCAAGTCCCAATGTTTCCCACTGCTCTTATCCAACTGGCTTGTCCCTTGCTAGCAGCCCTGGGTGGGTGTCAGTGGCTGTTTGTGCTCCAAGCCCTGTACCAACATCCCCTTTTTAACAGGGATTTGTCCAAAGTCATTCTGAGGTTTCAAGTCATGGAGGTTGGAGTTGAGCCCATGTCTGCTGTTGTGCTCCCCAGAGCCCATCCTGCAGGTCCCAGGATGCCACCCCTGATTTTTGCCTTAATAACTAATTCAGATTGTGATTGCAGTGGGAGCTGGTCTGCCCTGCTTGTTTCTGAGGTTTCAGTCTTGCATGAAGCAGCAGATGCTGGTCCAGCCTCTCAGTGAGCAGTGGGACAAGGCTGGGCTTGGCTTTCCCCAAAGTTCTTTTACTTTCCCAACAAAGCCTCTGCAGTGCTGGTGACACTTCCCTGCTCTGCCACAGCCTGGGTTTGGAAACACTGGAATACTCTGCCTTCATTATCAGCCCTGCGAGCAGAAAGGCTGGTGCTATAATTAGCACAGGCTCCTGCAGCCTGATGGCACCTCTGCTGGTGTGAGGGGGCTGGGAGGTGCTGAGCTGAGGAGCTGGGGATGCTCAGCACTTCAGGAAGGCTGCCAGGCACAGGCTGCCAGCTCTCCTGGCCCCTGGGCTTGTGGGGTTGCCCTGAGCTCACGTGGGCCTGTGGCTCTGGTGCCAGGTCTGGCTGCTGCTCTGCTTCCCTGGGAGCCCAACCTGCTTGTGGGGAGCATGGACAGCAGGGGTTGTCCAGGTGGTTCCCAAGGGGTTTCTGTCCTATCTTTCCCTTCATAACACTTGGTCAAACTTCACATTCCCCAGGGGGGATGTGGTGCTGTGGGTGCTGCAGTGAGGAGGGTGCAGCTGGGGGATAACTGCTCCCATCCACTTTGCTGGGTCTCAGCCTGGCCAAGTGCCTCTGTGGGGCTGGAGCTGCTCTTGACACCTCTGGAGTTTCCTATCTGTGCCCACACTCTACCACGTTGCTCCATCTAATGATTAAAACCCTCTAAGGACCAGCTGGATAATCTGTGGGTGAGATAATGGGATGTAAAGCCCAAACTCCTGCCTTCAGTTTGTGTTCAGTGCTTCTGCCAGCGAGCAAAAGGTTTGTTAAGTTGTTGCAAACTGGGGGCTGACAATGTAAAGAATAAATTGATAATGACAGGAGATGCCAAACTGGAGACTATTCCTGCTAATTAATATTCATATATGCCTGGTTTAGGGGAACATTAATTATGTATTTAATCAAGCCCTGTTTATTCTGGTTTATCTTGGTACCTTGGGTGGCTGTTGTGCTGAAGAATTCACATTAATTAAAATGTTACAGGCTTATCACAAATAACAATTAGTGAGGTGTGAGTTGAACCACCTTTCTCGTTGTGCTCATTAAGAAGGGAGGAGGGGAGCCTGATGGGATGGAGCTCCTGGAGCTCTGGGTCCACAAAACCCAGCAGGTGATGCTTCCAGCCACCCTCATGTTGCCAAGAAAACCTGAATTTTCCTTTTTCTTGGATGCTTTGGGCTGGAGCAGCAGGCAGGGCAGGGCAGCCCCATCCCTGGGAGCTGCACGTGGAGCCAGAGTCATCTGCTTTGCTCCAGCCCTTTCCTTCCTGCAAGGAAGTATCTTGCTTTTCCATATTCAAGCCTACCAGTCCGTGTTTGCTCCCTGATCTGAATTCTGTGATGTTTCTGTCTCCAGTGTCACCAGGAAGTGGAAGTGTCTGTGAGGGAGCAAATGGGACGTGGTGTGAGGTGGCACTGACATCCCCTGCTCGCCCATCAAATCTCACGTGGCTCCACCTGAGGCTTTCTCTCCAGTTCCTATTGCCAGAAACCCATTAACAGCCTGGAATTTATGTTTTTTTAATGAGAAGGAACAAAGCAGAGAGCAGAGCAGAACACAGAACACAGAGCCAGTTCACCCTGGGCTGGTGAGGTATCACTGTGAGCAGGAGGGAAAAGATTTTAAATGGTGACACTTTTAGGTGGTGACATCTATGGAAAGGGTGAATGAATCTCTTGGGAAGCTGTGCTGGGCCCAGGGGAAGATCTCCCCCACCTCCAGGTGACAGCATCCAAGTTCATCCCCCTTGGGACTGTGCTGGGGGATGGCAGCAGGAGGCACCTGGGTGCAGGATGGTTTGGTGCTGCCACTGGTGCTTTTGAGGACCCTCCTTCTCTGCTTGCCCAGGAGGGAGAGATTTGGCCCTAAAACTTGTAGGTCAGGTCTGGCCAATGCTTGGGGTGGGGATGAGATGATGCCCAGGGGCTGGTGCAGGGGAGAGGGTGCAGGATGCACGGTGCTGGCACCCTGCTCGTGTCCCCTGTCATCTGGCTGGCATCAAGGCACAGCTGAGGCCTTTATTTATGGTGGCTGTTCCTTGTGTTGGTGATTGATTAGGGGCACCTTCTGCCTGTCCCCATGGCAGCTCTGTGTCCCCTCTCCCTCCCTGGGGAAGGTGCAGAGACTGGCAGGGAAAGCTGCTGCTCTGTTTCACCCGGAGGAAGTGAGAGCAGAAGGGAAAGGAAGGGATGGAGGATGTCAGACTGATTGGAATCGTCCTTGTTTGCAGCTTCTCCTGGGAAGCAGGATGGTTCAGACAAGTGCCCTGGGGCCAGGCCATGTGAGAGCTGCCCTTTGCATGGTGGGATTTGGCCAGGGACAGCCCCAGGGGTGGGCACTGCCTGCTTAGATACAGGAGCTGCCTGGAAACTTGCTTTTCTTTATAGCTTCTTAGAGATTCAGCCAGTTTTAACGTCCTTTTATGTGTCTCCTGGTTTATGACTGTCTGGAAGAGAGGAACAGAATGGTGGCTTTGGTTCTGCTTTGGCTGCTGTGTGTGTGGGATCTTGCTGAGATGAATCCTCCAACTGCTGCCACCCTGCATGGCTGGCTGGGACCTGCAGGAAGCTGATGGGGACCCTCTTGGCCCAGTCCCCTGTTGCAGGCACCTCCAGTGGTGGCCAGTCCTGCCCATCAGTCCTTGGCTGGTCTGTCTGCACATCTGCCAAAACCAGCCCCTGCCATCGAGGGCTGTAGGTGTGTGATGTGCTGCTGCTGAATTGTTAGCTGGAGGAGACATGTCCAAACCAGAGGGTATCTTCCCAACGGTGAGGAGGGTCCTTCATGGTGAGGTTT